TAGTTTTGCATGCTCATATTCGACCACTTTTTCAGGCTTATGATCCCACCAGTTCTTTGCTACAGGCAGATGGTAGTTGTGACACAAGTTCCAGTGGACCATCTGAGTGACTGTGTTGTGATGTTGTTTGTAGTCAGTCTGAGCTATTGTCTTGCTCAGTATGTGATCAATGGTTTCATCTGCTTCTTTGCAGAGTCTGCATTTTGGGTCATCAGCAGATTTTTCTATTCTGGCTTTGATTATATTTGTTCTGATGGCTTGTTCTTGGACTGCAAGAATCAGGGCTTCTGCTTCTTTCATCAGTGTTCTGTTGGTCAGCCATAACCAGGTCTTCTCTTTATCTACTTTTCCTTGGATCTTTTCAAGGAACTGTCCATGCAGTGCTTTGTTACACCAGCTGTCAGCCCGAGTTTGCATCTCTGTTTTTCTATATTGATTCTTGGTTTGCTGCACTTTGAGCAGCTTCCTCTTGTTGACCTCCATCAAAGCTGGTTCAACATTGTCTTTCACATAATCTGCCAGAGCATGCTTCTCTTCTTCGACTGTCTGCTTCACTTGAAAAAGTCATCTGCCGCCTGCTTTTCTCGGCAAATATAGCCTGTCAACGTCACTACGTGTGTGCAGTGCATAGTGTATGGTAATCAGTTTTCTTGTTTTCCTATCCAAGCTGTCCAGCTCTGCCTGTGTCCAGTTTATGATCCCAGAAATAAATCTGATGTTGGCTATGGCTATAGCCTTGATGCTGTTACCGCCATTCAGTTTGCTTTTTAGAAGTTTTCTGACCTTTTGTGTGTATTCTTTGCTGACCACATTTTTCACTTGCCCGTACTTGATATTATCCAGCTGCAGTATGCCCAGGTATTTGTAGGCTTTGGGTTGGTGGCACTTGATGGTTTGTCCATTGAGCATTTCAATTCGGGTGCCCCCTGCATATGCCACCTCCCACAGGGTGCCGCCTTGACATGGCAGGGGGCTTAACTGTTCCAATGAAGCTGAGAGCTGTGCTGGCAGTAGTGCAAACTACCAGCAGGTCCAACCATGTCAGAGAGGTCTAGACCGAGGAGCAGAACTGAGTGCACCCAACAACTCATGCAATGAATCATGGTGAAACACAACCGAACGAAGCCTATACCGGCTCGGTCATCACCTGGGTTAACAAAGACCACGTTGGGTGTTGGGGAACCTGGGCATTCATCGACAAGTGGGCTAAAGGCCATGGGTCCCAAAGCTGAGCAACCAGGGCATGGGCCTGCAGGGCTACTGGAAGCTGAACAACCTCAGAAGCGGCAGAAAGACACCATGTCAGAGAACCGCACTGTAATGATAATAATAATAATAATAATAATAATAATAATAATAATAATAATAATAAT